CTTAACGTTTGAACACGTGGCGGTAGCACGCCAGTAATTTTCTTGAATATTGTTTAGGGTCCTCACAGGTTTAAAGAGAGAATTATTGGGGTGTTACACTTTCACAACTAGAATCGAAATCTGGAAAATTCTAAGAACAAATAGAGCTGTTGAGGCATGTAGGAACTAGCACTGAGAAAACAGTGTCCATCGCATGACGTCATTATACATCATTATACTTATTTATACATATGACATCATTATACACATATGACATTATTCTATTCATATGACATCATTATTGTCAAGTCACATCACTTCAATATACTTTATGACATCATTAAATTTCAAAATTTCATGAATTTCAAAATATAATCATAACTCATTCTTAATGCTTTATAGACATCTTTATAGGTGTGTTATGGTTTCAAACCACCTTATATGACCCCATGAGTCACCCCACACATTCAATTCATTTTTTGAAAAAATGTCAAAAACTGACCCGAAATCGTGTATAGCCTTCAGTTTTGGACAATATTTCATTTTTTCAAACCCGGAAACAAAAATTGCCGAGATGCTTCTCATGGACCCCAATACAAGCCGGGAGTCCATTTGAGTGGGTAAAATCATCCAATATGTCTTCAAACTGTCAATTTGCCCATTTACAACTTGCACCCATTTCATAAACTCGAGGCTACCACTGACATTTATGGAAACATATAATGATCATATTTGATTCTAAACGACATTATATGACCCTGGGATGTATCCACTGGTATCTCGAGACTTTTCGACACCGGGTCCTAAAACCTCCGAAATTGGCCAAAAAACGTGTATTATATAGCCTTTAATTTTGACAATTTTCGACTCTTTTTGACACGGAAACAAAAATTCCCGAGAAGCTACCTATAAACCCTAATATCCTCCGGGAGTCCAATTGGGTGGGTGGAACCATCCAATTTGCCTTTAAGCATCCAATTTACCAGTTTCCGTTCACCCCTCTTGTATTAGCTATAAGCTTCCACGGGGCCTTTATGTAGCCGACTTATGGTCTTATATGGGTCCAAACAATATCATATGACCCCGGGATGTATCCCGTACAATTCCGTGAATTTCTAACACCGGGTTCCGACGCCTCCTAAATTGCTCCGAATTCATGTATTATAGCCTTCAAAGTTGGCCTTCATTCATCATTTTTTCACCCGGCAAGATTATGCATTCAATTACTTCCATGGGTTCCCAAAGGCCCTTGGGAGTCATGGATAATGCCCAGAACCATCTCATTCATCCTTAATCATCATGTCTTAAGGCAACGACGACATGCCCTCAAAAGACGAAACTATTTGTCTGTATGGCTTGTCCTTGGGTGCATACGTCTTGTGCACATGCCACACCCCCCCTTGAACCATCCCACACCCCAACACTTTGTCTTTGTGTCTTGTCTCAATCCACTACTTAGCATTTTTTAGCATATAAGAAACACTACTAACCTCGTTTTCCAAAATATAAGTGTTTTTAGGGAATAGGGTGGAGGAGGGACGAATCGAAGCGACGAAGGGTTGAATCTTAGTGAATCATGGTAGCAAGGCCACTCTTCCACTTACAATACCTCGTCGCGTATTTAATTTGTCTACAAAGGATTCAACCCGCCGCTCGGTAGAAATTTTACTTCAAGGCTGCTCTCACAGCGCATCCACCGTGCGAGCTTAGCCTACGACACGTGCCCTTGGGTGCCGAAGCCCCTACTGTAGGAAATCGGGCGGGGGGCGCATGCGTTGCTTCTTGCCCGAATTCTGACTTGGAGGCGTTCAATCATAATCCAGCACACGGTAGCTTCGCGCCACTGGCTTTTCAACCAAGCGCGATGACCAATTGTGTGAATCAACTGTTCCTCTCGTACAAGGTTGAATTACAATTGCGACACTGTCATCAGTTTGGTAAAACTAACCTGTCTCATGACGGTCTAAACCCAGCTCACGTTCCCTATTGGTGGGTGAACAATCCAACACTTGGTGAATTCTGCTTCACAATGATAGGAAGAGCCGACATCAAAGGATTAAAAAGCAACATCGCTATGAACTCTTGGCTGCCACAAGCCAGTTATCCTTGAGGTAACTTTTCTGACACCTCTAGCTTTAAATTCAATAAGACTAAAGGATCGTTAGGCCGCGCTTTCAAGGTTCGTATTCGTACTGAAAATTAAAATCAAACGAGCTTTTACCCTTCTGTTCCACACGAGATTTTTGTTCTCGTTAATCTCATCTTAGGACACTTGCGTTATCTTTTAACATATGTGTCGCCCCATCCAAACTCCCCACCTGACAATGTCCTCCGCCCGGATCAGCCTGCAAGCGGACCTTAGGTCTAAAAGGAGGGGCACTTCCCCTCTTCCGACTCACGCAGTAAGTAAAATAACGTTAAAAGTAGTAGTATTTCACTTACGCCGAAGCTCCCACTTTTCCTACACCTCTCAAGTCATTTCACAAAGTCGGACTAGAGTCAAGCTCAACAGGATCTTCTTAACCCGCTGATTCTGCAAAGCTCGTTCCCTTGGATGTGGTTTCGCTAGATAGTAAACAGGGACAGTGGGAATCTCGTTAATCCATTCATGCGCATCACTAATTAGATGACGAGGCATTTGGCTACCTTAAGAGAGTCATAGTGACTCCCGCCGTTTACCCGTGCTTGGTTGAATTTCTTCACTTTGACATTCAGAGCACTAGGAAGAAATCACATTGCGTTAACATTCGCACCATCGCAATGCTTTGTTTTAATTAAGCAGTCGGACTCCCCTTGTGCATACCAGTTCGAGCTGACTGTTCGACGCCCGGGGAAGGCCCCTGAAGGGAACGTTCCCAGTCCGTCCCCCGGCAGGCACGTGGCAACCCGCTCTCGCCACGGAAGCAGCTCGAGCAATCCGCCGACTTCCGACGGGTTCGGGACTGGGACCCCCGTGCCCAGCCTCAGAGCCAATCCTTTTCCGAAGTAAAAGATCCATTTTGCCGACTTCCCTTGCCTACATTGTGCCATCGAGCAGAGGTTGTTCACCTTGGAGACCTGATGCGGTTATGAGTACGATCGCACATGGTCAGCACTCGGTCCTCTGGATTTTCAAGGGCCGCCGGGGGCGCACTGGACACCATAAAACGTGCGGTGCTCTCCCATCCGCTGGACCCTACCTCCGGCTGAGTGGATTCCAGTGTGGGCAAGTTGTTAAACAGAAAAGATAACTCTTCCCAAGTCCCCCGCCGACGTCTCCGGACTTCCTAACGTTATCGTCTACTGCCACGTCCCGGTTCTGAAATTTTAATTTGATTCCCTTTCAAAGCTCTCGCTAAACGCGCTATCGGACAGGCTTCCCCATCTCTTACGATCGAATAACCCATGTGCAAGTGCCTTCACATGGTACCTTTCCCCTTTTCAGCCTTCAAAGTTCTCATTTGAATATTTGCTACTACCACCAAGATCTGCACCAATGGCCACTTCGCCCTGGCTCACGCCACAGGTTTTGCAGCGACCGCTGCGATCTCCTACTCATCGCGGCCTGACACTTGCCCCGACGGTCGGGTATAGGTCACGCGCTTCAGCGCCATCAATTTTCGGGGCTAGTTGATTCGGCAGGTGAGTTGTTACACACTTCTTAGCGGATTTCGACTTCCATGACCATCGTCCTGCTATTTTAATCGACCAACACCCTTTGTGGGATCTAGGATAGCGAGTAGTTGGGCACCGTAACCCGACTTTCGGTTCATCCCGCATCGCCAGGTCTGCTTACCAAAAATGGCCCACTTAGAGCTCTCGATTCCGTGGCACGGCTCAACAATGCAGTCGCGCCGTCCTACCTATTTAAAGTTTGAGAATAGGTCGAGGGTGTTGCGCCCCCGAGGCCTCTAATCATTGGCTTTACCTGATAGAACTCAAGAATGAGCTCCAGCTATCCTAAGGGAAACTTCGGAGGGAACCAACCCTTACATAATACACATATAAATCTGGACCCTCACGAAACATAGGAATTGGGAAGTAACTAGATGTCTAACTTGTAAAAAATGTTTTCTAAAGGCTATAATACATGAAATCGGACCGATTTAGAAGATTTTTGGGAACCAATGTAAAACAAACTCATGTAATGGTGAATGATACATCTCGTGGTCATAAAAGATAATATTTATTCAATAGTCAGCGACGTAAAGAGTCGAGATAATCTTGAGTCGATAATGATAAAACATGTTCGTAATTGGCTAAATTGATTGTTATGAGGAAAAATATATGGTTCCAACCATCCTAGTGACCTCCCAAGGTCACATGGTATTGAACTGTTGATAGGAAGCTCCTCAGCCTCTATCCTTTCGAAGTTCAAAGTTTTTGAAAATTATCTAAAATTAAAGGTTATAATACACAATTTCAAATAGACAATGAAGAAACAGAACAAACCCCAAAACGATAATCCAAAGCTCCAAATGGTTTTTATAGCATTCGGCACTACGACTGGTGATTTCAACGTAACTTACTATTCCCCTAAACTCAAGGCAGCCCTTCAATTACACTCCGTACATAGTAATATTTGATCGCACTATATTCTCTCAGTGTTAAAGAACATGATTTTATGCCGATGTGAGGATTTGATCAGTGTATAGCATCTGGTGAAGATGAAGAACCAAGTTCGCCACACCTTAAAACACCGTCTGCCATCTTATCATCCATTTCCTTGGTGAAAAAGCAACTTAAGATATTTGACTACTACTAAGATTAATAGAAATAAATTTCATTATTTACATAGTATATGCTAGCCTTCTCACCCCCCCCCCCCCCCCCCAAACAAGTCTGATGGCTTCCAACAAAAAATTATGTTCAAAAGATGAAAGAAGCTAACCTAAAATTGACACCGAAACATTTAAGACTATTGCTGGAACCACCACTGGCAAATAGGCTCATAAGATTCCCAAGAAGCCAACTATTCACATGCAACCAACAAAACACGGAGGGGGGCAATTGAAAAATGAAGCCATAGAAAAAAAAAAAAATTTATATGGGTTGATTCCCGAGAAAAATGTATTTGAGATCATCAATGGTGAGACGAGCTCCAGAACCAGAGACATGGTCTTCACCAAATGCAGATGCCACAATCTTCCTCTTCTCTTCCTGCAGTTCACCAAACCATCAGACAAGGGAACCTTGTGCTCCAGTGACAAATTTGCAAAATATACATACCATAGAACATATAAGTTTATAATTAAAAAAATAATAATAAAATAAATAAATAAATAAATAAAACCCGTAAAAAATCTTAATTACAACCCCTACACAATTCAACTATTCAGAATGATTTTCTTGATCGTAGATGTTTGTATCCGCAAGACAAAATTTCAGGCATCTGGCTTTATTTCTGTTGATCAAATTAATTGAGGAACTTTTTCAAAAGCTGGGTAGAGGATGGAGGACATATCTTTACTAGGTCAAGCATGTTCTGTTGATGATATAGCAAGATAATGTACGCTTAGATCTTTTGGAGCAAATTGTTCAAACAGACTGCTCCTCAAACATTTTACTTTCAAGTTTCAACATGCCCAATGCACAAATTCAGTATAGAAGCCCAAGCTATTGCAATATTCATACAATGGAAAAAGTGAAAAAGAGTTAGATAGGTAATTCTTGCATTTAATAATTCAACTTATTCTAGCAGCCCAGACTTGTACTCTTATGCTCCTTTAATTTATACAATCAACACAGCCAGTCAATTTAGCCTCCAAGGTGGCTTCAAACTAGGCATGTTTTTCATTGATATGCAACAAGAGATTATTAAACACAATTTACTCTATACACTAAAGCAGCAGTAAACATATTATAAAGCATTAAAATGAAAAACGGGAGAGAACTGAATGTGGCACACAATACCTGGAGAGCCAAAATACGATCTTCGACAGTGTCTTTGATTGTAATCCTTGACACTGTAACAGGCCGAGTTTGCCCAATACGATGTGCTCGATCAATTGCTTGGTCTTCTGTGCTTGGGTTCCACCAAAGATCCAAAAGGATAACATGGCAAGCTGCAACCATGTTCAACCCAAGGTTACCAGCTTTAAGAGACATCAGCATGACAGTGACCTACAAGCCAGCCCACAAAATCAGATTTATAAATTATAATCACAGCAAATTACAAGAGCACGCCAAGGAAAACCACCCCAAAAGCTAAAACCAAGAACAGGTATCAATGTAAATTCAAGCATAAGATTATCAACAACACCAGTGAATTCATTGGCTACACAAAACAGCACTACTAATGACGGAAAGAAATAATGCATGCACCAAAGAAATATCGGAAGGAAATATCAAACAATGAACAGTTCTTATTATATCAGATGATATAAACGTGTATTCTTATACTCTGGTATACGTATACTTTACACAAAATTATCCTTGGAAAGAAATACAAAGAACTTCAGCTGCAAACACAAATCAATATTCATAGCATGGGAAACTCAGATATGTATAAGCAGAAGGCCAAACTGCCAACTCAACCAGTCCAAATGGGGAGTTGGCTTGGTTAACAAATTAGGCTCTTCTTAGTCACAAAAAAGTGTCTAACTTAAAAGGGGTACACAAATAATTTACACTCTAAAAAGAGTAGATGCTTATCTCTACAAGACCACCCCATGACCATTTACATTTTAAATTTCCAGTTATTTAAAACATACTCCTTTCCAACAAACAAAATCCTAACTTGACATCTCTCCAACTTGGCCTTTCTTCATTGTCGTCTACTGAAGTATCAGATTCATAGTAAAAATCTACAAGATATAGTAATAAAACTGCTTACAATTAAAGAATTATCACCCCCTCCTTCCCTATACACCATTCTTTCCTATTCTCAAAAAAAGGGGTAGATATGGAGAAAAAGTCAGTACGAGTTGTGCAACACTAACAAAGTATATCACATTAAAGTTTTCTGTAGCATTTACATTATAGATAACAGACATCTGGTGTATGAAAAAAATTGAGGCACCCTTAGGCGATAAGGGTCCTAGAGCTTGAGGTGTGAGCTTTAAAGAAGAGAAGCATAATTTTAGATATACAGACGTGTATAAAAGAAAAGGTTGCAGGCATGAAAATGCAGCTAATGTGTCTTTATACACAGCATAGAGTTCCTAATAAAAAGCCTCAACCAAAACTTTCTAAGAGCTTAGGCAACGCGCCTAGGCATGACATGTCAACACAGCAAGAATCAACACCGATACTAAGGTCACTAACACAAATGCTCCGAAAAAGCTCCCCTCGTCAGTGGGCTAATGGGGATCGGATACACACATCCTTTTATCCCTGATGTAATATACCACAGTATTCTGCAATTTTTTTATTAAAAAGTTATGCTGACAGTTTGATTAGCCCACTATAATTGCAAACCAAAATATAATTAATTTTTCTCCATTGAAACTGTACATAGTGATGGAATGCACACAAACACGCACAAATTATATCTATGCTAAAGCCTTCAAGTTAACTAGCTGAACTAAGATACTGATTGGACAAATTCTCTTAAACCATCTGTATATAGCATACAGTATGCAAAAGAAAAGGTTGCAGGCATGAAAATGCAGCTAATGTGCCTTTATACACAGCATAGAGTTCCTCATAAAAAGCCTCAACCAAAACTTTCTAAGAGCTTAGGCAGCGCGCCTAGGCATGCCATGTCAACACAGCAAGAATCAACATCGATACTAAGGTCACTAACCCAAATGCTCCAAAGAAGCTCCCCTTGTCAGTGGGCTAATGGGGATCGGATACACACATCCTTTTATCCCTGATATAATATACCACAATATTCTGCAATTTTTTATTCAATAGTGATGCTGACAGTTTGATTAGCCCACTATAATCGCAAACCAAAATATAATTAATTTTTCTCCATTGAAACTGTACATAGTGATGGAATGCACACAAACACGCACAAATTATATATATGCTAAAGCCTAAAGCATGTTAACTAACTGAACTAAGATACTGATTGGACAAATTCTCTTAAACTATCTGTACATAGCATACAGTGTGCAACTGCAAATTATTGCCAAGTAAATCCATCAATTAAAAGTGATTGTGAAGGAGGAAAAGAAATTCCTCAAATGTGTTATATACAACAAAATATTCTGGTATTGTTTCACATTACTTTGACTGCGGAATATCCTGCCACTCTTTCCCATAAGCAGCCAGACACACACACACACTTTATTTTCACATTAGGTACTCAGCACCCCATCTAATTACACTTAGAATAAAGGGATTAGCTCAGAACAAGTTTAAATGAATAAAGTGTGGAGGAAGGCAAACAAACTCAAACAGAAAGAGAGAGAGAGAGAGAGAGAGATCAATATTTTCTACCATGTAAAAATAAATGAAAAGAGCAACAAATCAGTAAAAGATTGAAATCAGAAGAAAACAAACCTCAGGATCAGTATTGAACTCTCTGACAGCCCGGTCTCTTGCAGCCAAAGACATACTACCATCAAGCCTCCTATATTGGAGGCAATACAGATTTAAAGAATACTCGAACAAATCAAGCATACGAGTCCACTGAGAGAAAACAATGGTTTTTATTGGTCCTTGTGTGGATGACCCCTTCATTTTCTCAGTTCTCACTTGTGCAGACATAGAATTCTCTTTACTTGTCTCCCCCGGCTCATCAACCTTTATACATTTACTGTTAAATTCACAATGAGAGAAGAGTATCTCTAGTGCTGCCTTAATTTTAGAGGAGCTATACTCATTACTAAGTATTGATGAAGCCTTGGAACTACCATTGTCAGTTGAAATATTGCCATCAACATCACCAGAAACACAACTTATTAGAGTAGCCTCTGAGAAGAGAACATCATCACTTAGTTGTTGCTTGCATCTACGAGCAGGACACAGATTGTCATCACCGTTTAGATAGTCTGCCACACATTGGTAGCAGAAAACATGCCCACAAATGGTCACAATAGCATCCTCAGCTGGATCCTGCAGAAGCATCAGTGAAAACAAGATATTAATTCGCATTAAATCAACAGAAGCTTTCAAGATAAGGTTAGATAATGAATCTTTTTCCCTCTTTTTTTGTCTCCGTTTTCCTTTAATTCTTACTTGCAGACCCAGAAGAACAAAACAGATACAGACCACAGGACTCAGACATCCACTCGTCCAGATGACCTAATGACTATGAATTTATGACTCAGTTGTCTCCAACTGGCCGTCCAGTGAAGATGACTGGAAATAGAAGGTATTCCATCGATTAAGAGGGGGGAGGGGGGGAGGAAGGAACGCGAGGAAAGATTAAAGAAGGCAATTAATGATGATCTTAGTTTGGATCTACCAGCCACAGCTTGTCAGAATTGTCACAGTAATTCATAACCATCTATCCCAAATACATTTAACTTGTTATCTTTTAATTACCAGAAGAAAGGTCCTCAGTCAATGAACAAATAAGGGAACCTAAAAAAAAATACGCCTCACTCTGGATTACAAGGGACAAAAATTATAGCCACAACCAAAAGCATCCCAAAAGACATTGCTGACAATTTAACTTTTTTCTTTTGACAAAGACTATTAAACATTCTATAGATTTAGATGCATGATCATATCAGCAAGAAATTCCTTACTTGAGTTCCACTGGTTACTCTAATCTAAGAAGTACCCTTTTCATTTTGTAATAATTGCAAACATTTTGACTTGTGCACTTTTTATATACAAACTACGAGTAATTTTATTTTTTTAATTAACATATACTGGTAAAAAACAAATATTGTCCAGTAAAATGTTTTTAGATTAGTCTTTAAGTATATTTTCATTATCTTAACCTTTTATACTTCTTGATAATATATAATTATAAATATTAATGGTTAAATTTATGCATTGACATGTGTGTCCGTCAAAGAATTACAATTATTATGAAACGTAGGAAGTATATTAAGAGTTCTAGTCCCCAATACTGTATTTGTGAACTTTTAGTCTCTCAACTTTTAAATGCTCATTATTGGTCCCTCAACGACCTATATATTAAGACACGAAGCATGTGAATTTTGACTAAATAGTTTAGGGACTAATCCTAGTTAGAAATGTAACAACACAGCTTTAAGTAAGCAGTGAGCCAGATTCACAATACCCAACCTCCACCTCTAAGGGAACTGACCATAGCAGAGTCTCCATGTGACACACAGCAAATATGAAGAAGGAACCTCTACATTCTACAATGATAAATCTAGACTCGAGAATGATTTAACTAAAAAGGAAGTAACTTGTTCAAAGGTAACTAGGTCAAAAATGAAATACATAAAAGTAAACAACATTGTAAATTAGCACATTTGTAAAACAACAGAAGACAAAAACTCAATTTCCCAAATCCCCCAATTGAAACTAAACAAAACATAATGATCAAAATTTTAAATAACAAGGGTGAAAAGCCACATACATCAAGTTAATAAGAAAGCCAGTCTAAGGAATTAAAACGGTTCTAACAAGAACATACAGTGCAAATGAGACAAATAGCAGAGGCTGCTTCCAAATGATCCAACAATCCCATCAAAATATGCGTAGGGAGTTTCTTAGCTTTCTCCAGATTTGTTCTTTTACCAGAGTCAGAATTAAATCCCTTCACGAGAAGAGGGTGATCACAAGCCTGGCGGAGGCGCAATATCATCAGCAGAATGTTGGCGTAGTTCTGATTAACTGTGCCAGCAGCTGCGTAAGCCTGCAAGACAATTATTTAATTTCAAATACCAGATATTTCATAAGAAAAGCCTCAAATGGCAGGTTTCATCCAAAATTACGATCACATCTAGAGTCCACCGATTTAAGGTTGGAGTTTCTGGTGTTGTTTTGTAAACATACAAGATTTAAGAGCATCATTTCTCTTCTCGAACCTCTATTATATACTTCTTATAAGGTTGATAGCAACACTGTCTTTTTAATACCATTGTTTACAGCCCATCAAACAGAATGAACGATTGTCTCCATTTCGAACTATCAGCTGAAGAGAACATATGATGTTATGAAAGTAACTTTTTTTTTACTGGATGTAAAACTATGTCTTGAAATGAAAACACTTGTGCGTTCATTTCCAAAAAGGAAAAAAAAAAATAACGACAGAAGAAGACGGCACATTCAACAGTGCAGTCCAGTATCTGAATCAGTCACAATTCGAATTTAATACTTCCTCAATTATTTATTTGTGCAATTTGAACTCTACACTATTCACAGACTCCTTTGACCAAATTTTGTAAGTTATACATAAGGAAAATAGAGTAATGTCGGATCATGTTTACAACAATAACAACAACAAAGCCTTAGTCCCAAAATGATTTGGGGTCGGCTAACATGAATCGTCATAAAGAATCGTACGATATAAAGAAACGGAAAAAACCATCATTTAAAATAGATTGAAAAAAGGTGAGTAAAGTGAGGAAATGAAAGAACATTTAAGAAAAATAAAGGGTGTTTTGAAGGAGAATCAAGAATAATTCAAGAAAGTTTTTCAAAGAGTGGTTAAAACGTTCAAATCGTAAACATAAAGGTTTGAGAAAACTTTAGCAAAGGAAAACAATACAGTTCATAAAACATTTATGGGCTAAAAATAAAATTTAAAACGAAAATAAATATAAACTTGTTAATATATTAAAAAAATATACTTTTTTGAACATATATAGTAACAAACCTACTGATATTCGAAGTTTAAGTATACATAGGTCAGCATGAAAACCCAAATGGTACAAGTAAACACGAACGGAGGATGTATACACAACCAGTGACTCAACTTAAATAAAATTGACACGCATGAAACAACAGTGATGATGTCAGCCAGCATGGTTCTGCCTGATTAATAACACTATTTTATAAGAAGTCTCTCCTTAAATTTTGTTGTTTCAAACAAATTAAACGATTTTTCTTGTTTTTTCCCTTCAATAAATTATTTAAACAATACCACAAACTGTAGCCAGTGGATCACAGAAATCAATAAACCAAAAGGAACCATAGTGTGTCAGCTGTAATGATAAAGGATTCAGCATCCTAGCTTCCAGTGATTTAATAGACCAAGCCACCAAGGTCACAAAGAAGCTCAAATAGAAATAGGCCAACAGCCCAATATAAAAGGATCAAAAGTGCCAGTGTCACAGAAAAATTGCCAACTAGAAAGCAAGGATACAAAAGAGTTAAGAAAAGATAAACACCTTAAACTGTGAGCGTGATTCAGCTTCCAATTGAGCATAAAAGGACCGCTCCTCAGCAGTGAAGGTCACAGCCTTCATCTTTATGAACTTTGGAGGTAGGCTAATAATAGGTTCTCCATCTAGTAATGTCTCTGTATTGATAATAATAAAAGATTAAAAATAAAAATAAAATAAAAACTATTGTACTCAGAAAGCATTGTTCAGAACAAAATCCAAAGTGCTAATAAGAAATAATTGAACTATTGAAAACATTTCACAAACTTCATTACGCACTAAAACTATAAAGACTAAAGAGTGCAGATATAAGGAGAAAATAGTTGAATTTAAAAAATAATAAAAAATCGCTACCTATTGCACAAAATTCCACACTTTTACAGATTTGAAATCAGTGAAGGCTACATATAAGTTGATAATATTATATAATCAATTCAACTTCCTTGGATTCTTGAAATTATTGTTCCACAATTTTAAATCACTTTAATTCATACTTCTTCTAAATACATCAGAATTAATCAAGAACTATTCTCCATTATAGATGTTTTTATTTTCTGGATAAGAACTAAGAATATGCATTATGAATAATCTCATTATATTGTATTTAATATCTCCCACATGAGAAACTATAGCAGATTAAATTCAACACCTCTATCTCACTGCATTTGGAAAAATCAAAGCAGTCTCCACATCAGCAAAATCAATCATCCAGTACACAACGATCATCTGTCTTAAACACCATCTAAAAAGTACTTCCTTTTTTTAATTATTGGGACATTTTCCTTTTTGGAAAGTTGCATATTAATTTCACCATATTCTTCTTTGGTATGCTTTATTCACCTTTTTCTAGTGTTCACACACAAAGTAGCCTAATTACCCTTAATCAGATGTGATAACAACTATTATACCCCACCTTTTCTCTCTCTCATTTGTTTATATCACATGGGCAAATTTGACATTCCCCATCTTTTACTCTTATTCTTAAATCTTGTGCCCATACAAACGTTGCGATTAAAAAAATCCAGGAAGTATATCTAGGCCAATAAAGATGCCAACCAAAAAAAAAGGGCAAATCAGTGGTCACAAGATGCAGCAGACAGCTTATGGACACAATCAAGCAACACTACGAGACAAGTGTTTAGAAAGATATGGCAATGATAAGGAAAGGATCACCTTTTGTGCGCCGCAGCAATAAAGTCCTCAAAACTGCTTGAAGCTTCTTGTATCCAATATTTGGATCTCTAGAAATCGGATTTTTTATTCCTCCATAAAAATTTTTGTAACTAGAATAAAAGTGATGTCGAAGAAATCTGAAGTAGCTATACATTTCATCAATTGAATTTTGTATGGGGGTTCCAGATAAACACCACCTTCTTTTAGCTCTCAATCCGCAGCAGGCTCTAGCTGTTAGTGTCCTATGGTTTTTAATGGTTTGTGCTTCATCTAGTACCACTCTAAACCAATTCACTCTGGCAAGTGCACCAGCCTGACTACATAAAGAGCCATCAGCTACTTTACTGCCTTTCTTCCCTTTTTTACTGGTGGTGGATGAATGTTTCCGCTTCTTAGTACCAGTAAAGTCAGATGATAGCCAGTGCCTATCCCCAGGTTTTTGCTCACCATCATCCTCATCGACTATAGATTGCTTAGGAACCTCATTACTAACTATAGAATAAGTGGTAAGCACCACATCATGCTTGGCCAGCTTAGCAGGATCCTTAGTCCTGGTACCACCATGATACACCAAAATAGATAATTTTACTTTATTAGCAACTTTTTCTAGCAACTCTCTATTCCACTGCCTCAGAACAGTTGCTGGACACACGATCAATGTACCTGCAGGTGGTCTATTCTTCTGAATTGGCGGATGTGAAGAACTTGAACCGGATTTAGATTTTGTACCATCAAAATTCTCCATTTTATTGACAGTTTCAGTAGTGGCACTTCCATTATCATCATCATCCACACCATCCAAATCAAGTGTTTCAGGTTTATTGTTAGAATCCTCCACTAATTTGCTCTTACCAACATTAGGATCCACTGTTTTACTTCCTACATTGTCATCGTCGTCGTCATCCAAGTTTAAAGCTTCAGTATTGATATTGTTATGTTTATCTGATTGATACTTTGCCTGTGATGGCCACTGTTTAAGTATCAGGGCGATAGTTGATATTGTCTTACCCAGTCCCTGAAAATCACATAAATTAGCATGTTAAACCCTTAAATGGAGAGATAATTACAAGCAAAAGGATCCTGAAGGAAAATTAACCACATGTAACTCCAAATACAATACAAGTTCCAAATTACATAAGGAGGGATGTTAAATATAAAAGCAATGACACAAAATTACAAAGGACATATACATAAATGTCTAGCATCAAATGTTAAGATAAATGATAGCATGAAGCATGAGACACACCTGGTCATCAGCAAGAATTCCACCCAAACAATGCATAGTTCTTGACTCCTTCTCAACCATCCAAGCCAGAGCAATTTTCTGTTAGAAAAACACATAAGATCCTTAAGTGCGAAGGCCAAGTACCAAAATTTTAATACATTATGAATATTCATAATTTTCAGAGCTCTGCAAGAAAACTACTGCAAATAATCACAAATACTTCAGGCTTTTGAGTTTTTGGCTATAAGATGAACAGAAAAAAAAACAAAAAAAAAACCTGGTGTCTCAAAAGGGGGACAGTTAAGAGCCCAGGAGGAATATCAACTTCAGCAGTTGGCTGGCTAATTTCCTGCATATATATTTAAAGCAACAATAAGATAGATAAGCAACTAATGTGCAAAGATTAAAAATAATACTTACCTCCGTTTCTTATTAGTTGACACGTATTCCTTTTTAGGAAGTTTTTTTTTTAGTTGACACGTTTCCTTTTTGGGTAAGCTTTATACCTTACTTTTAAAGTGTATCCCACTTGCTTTATCATTTTCTCTTACTCTCTCTCCTCTCCTTAATATGTGTGCCTAAATTGAACGTGTCAACTAAATAGAAACGGAGGATGTAGAAAACAATGGCTTAAGTATAAAACCATCATATACTATATACTACAATGACTTTACTCTAAGGTCTCAAACAAAAGACCGGATCTTTAATATTACCCAGCAAAAGAGTAATCTTTCATCAACAACAAACTTACCATGGTTCAAGAGTAGATTAATGTAAAGACTAATATACTGACTTGAATTACAAGTTTACAACATGAAGGGCGCTACATAAGCAATAGAACAAAACGAAGAGAGCATAGTTGCAACTTTAAGCTAATCAGTCACAGATATTTTTAAAACTAGCAACTAAGAAAATTCAATATTTGAAAAATACATGTTAAGACAAATCTAACAAGATCCCACTTGATAATGTTTTATCTTTAGCATTGAAATACAAATAAGGTCAAAGTTGAGTCAATCAGACCAAAATTTAGAAAATTAAGAGAAAAATAAAAGAAATAGAGCAACCCACACTGCAAGTGAGGTCATAGAGCAGAAAACCCTACAAAACAATTTGAATAAGAGAGAATTTCAGAAATCAAAAAAGAGAAGAATGAAAATTTTAATAGAAAATGTTGACAAAGAATAAGAAGAAGAGAGGATCAAAGCAAAAGTATGAACGAAAAAGAAGAGCAAATAACAAATAGAAAGAGAAAGAACACCTAGAATGCTTGACCGGCAACGAACACCGCCAGACCAGTGCTCGCATGCAATTTTTGTCAAATGCCGGTAACCACTATTTTCCCAATTGCTAAACTACCAGCAAATTAGGGTTTTCTATAATTAGAGTATTTGAATTGGGGATTTAAGTGTAGCAAATTCATGCTTTTGATCGAGGGTTTTGGAATAAGCTTCTTAGAGACTATGTAAGGAATAATTTGAAATAAAAAATGATTTTTTTTTTTTTGTATAATTTTGACTCAAATCTACTATTTATATCGTATTTGAACATGAGACGCAAACAACATAAGGCGCAGACACTATAAAGGGACAAGATTTGATCTTTTTGAAATGCTCTGTGCTTGATACAGTAAGGCGTTTTGCCCTGCGCTTGATTAGCCCAGCACCTAGGCGCGCTTTAAAACAATATGAGCGCTGCATTCAAAATACAATATGAGCGCTGCTCCCCAAATTTTGGGGGTTCATAACATGCTACTGAGTAAGAGTATCTTCCCTAATAAGAAGAGAATTGGAGTTCTTTTTCTTTGAAATATTAATTTCCTTTCATTTGAATCATTTCTTTCTCTTTCTTTCTTTTCTTTCTCTTTCTTTCTTTCTTTCAAGCTCCATAGGTTTCAAGGAGACCTTTTCAGTGGTTACAGCTTTACGCCTTCACCCTAAGGGGAAAGGGACAAATGGGAAACATTTACGTCATAGGTTTTGGCTACCTACAAAGTGGCTCCAAGTTTCCAACTAATCAAGTAACAACTTGAAGAACAATACTGCTTTTTAGGTTTTGTTTGTAAGAGCAAGTAATATTTGTTAAGTTAGTTATGTTCATGTAAGAGTCTTAAATAGCCTAGTAATTCATGTTGCAATAATTTGAACACTTACAAAATTGATGAGATACAAATGTTTGAGCCATTAATTTAATATTCCCTCCTATTCAAAATAAATGACTCAATTTGACTTTTGAACTATTTATTACTTCATGTACACCACTTTAGCAATGTTTGTGCTTTATATATAAATTTAAACATAATTAAGTGGGTACCTATTAGAACAGTCACAATGTATAATTTTTTAATATCAACTATTTAGTACGTATCATTTATACTTATTGATAATTCAAGATATTATGCGTCAAAGTTCCGTCTTGCATGCCAATCAAGTTGGGGCATTTATTTTGGAACAAAGGACCATCTTATATACACCATATATTTCAAGAGCAGTGTCTTCTAAGGGTGCCATATAAACAAAATGATATAAATACAAGTTATGAACAATATAAATTTTATGTCTAGAGATTCTGATAAATTTCAGCTCCCATGTGTATAGAAAGAAGGATAAATGTAAATACCCAGTAATAATACCACTGAAATAGCATGAGAAGATGGCATAAAGTTACTCCTGGGAGAACAAGGAAGCAGCTTCTAATGGACCTAAACATGTTCCTAATAAGTAGAGAAATTAATTGACCACCATTGGTAAGAATGGTAACAACTCATGCAGTAAAAAGCTCACTACAAGCTCACAGCAGTTTAAAAGACTCGCGTTCATTCTAGTATTATACTACAACATATAAAGAGAAATTCAGAACAAGCTACAGCACCCCTAAAGAGTTCCAATGGACCTAAACATGTTCCTAATAAGTAGAGAAATTAATTGACCACCATTGGTAACAACTCATGCAGTAAAAAGCTCACCACAAGCCCACAGCTGTTTAACAGATTGGCATCCAATCTAGTATTATACTACTACATATAAAGAGAATTGCAGAACAAGCTAGAGCACCCCCAAAGAGTACCAAGCGCTTCATCTTATGAGGCACTTTTCAGGGAACAAAGCACAAGTATGTGAAGCAACATACCACAAAGAAATGGCAAGGAGATAGGAAGGGTACCTGTAGTGCAGCTTGATAGATTATTCTTTCGTCTCCTAAAACCCTATCTTCCCCAAACCCCACATTTAGGTAAGGGTCACTTGAACTAGTATGATCCGATGATGAACCAGGCCTTCCACGCGCCAAAGTATGAGGAAGAATGCGAGGATGGTTATTATCATACATAAAACCATCATCGGCACTTCCCCTACTAAGATACCCACGATTGCTGGCTAAATTATCCCAAGAACTGCTTTGATTAGTCTGTGACCCAGAAAATGGGGGGTAAGGAGGGAGGACCCTCTTATTTAGGTGTTGCTCATGATCTGCATCACGGGCATACAAGGATATATTCCTATTTGACTTTTCATCGTTCTTCCTTGGCTGAGAACTAATTCCATTTCCTACACCCATTCGGGAATTCAGGGCTCGACTGCTTGTGCCATAGCTAGTGCTAGGAGCGGATTCACCCTGATGATTGCCAGCACGCGAATATGTTCCTCTGCTAGAAGATGCCTTTGGAGGACCTACAAGATAAAATATAACATTGGAAACCACCCAAAAATTGACAAGCAAATTGAACATTGAAGTCTTGAGAGTTGATTGCTGACCCTTTTCCCTAGTCCAACTTGGTAGAACTCTTTTACTACTAGAATACGAGAATTCAGGTTGAGGTACTTCCACAGTGTCATCTTCATCAGAGGACAAGTCAATGTCGCTTCCTGATGATGTAATATCAATAGTCTCCATTCTATCCAAAAATATTTGACTCTGATTTCCTTGTTCCTCAGATAAATTATAATAAGAGGTGCTAGAAGAAGAAGACTTGACCTGCAGTTCCATACATATTTGTCATATGAGGTGCTTCGACTTTACAAAGTAAATGTCATATTTGTCAACAACCACAAATAGTAGGAACAGCCGAACATGGTACCACATAGTTTGTCAGTGTTATAAACTCACCAGATCAGCAAGCTGCCTGAACGTTAAACTGGAAATCCATTGACTAAAGAGTGAATAAAACCGCCGAGTAGATTCTACAATTCCACGTTGATTATTCCCATCATCAGACATCTAGTAATCTCATCATACAAATACGTTCTGAAAGAAGCAGCATTTTCACACCAAATACAAAGATTTTTCAATATTAACAAAAAAGCTAAGTAAATTAAGCAGATCAAAACAAGAGTATACGAAATCAGCATTCAAATTAGGCACTCATACACTATATCAATATAAAACCCTTAAAACAATCCGAAAGAACCGCTCAAATCATCTTGCATGCCCTAACTAAATATTGCACATTGAATATTTTAGTGATTAAAGCTTAAAAATCCAAACTTTGACAAGTAAATAACAATCAAACGGCTTAATCACATAATAAAACTCTATCCAAATCCCATCAACACCAATTTTTCCGAAAATTAAAAGAGAAATTAGGGGTTACGTTGCATGAATCAAAAAATAAATAAAATGACGCAATCATTAAGGGCAAAAGATATAAAATAGAAGTAAAGAAAAGAATTTACCCCAAAAATTCTAGGTTTTAACAAACCAAACGAAGTGGCTGCAATTACCAAAATTCCAGTAATCTGAGAGTAAAATTAAGCAGTTGGATAAAAATGGCGGCAAATTGGGCTTGTAAATTAGGTATTTTGATGAGGTAATTAGGGAATTTTAGTGCGATAATTAGGAGTTTATACTAGAACAGGGAATGGAAGAAGAAGCATGATGAGAGAGAAAGTGTGGGAGTAGAGAGTGGTGCAAAGTTGAGAAAATTGAGTCGAGTTCTCTGTGAAATTCTCTCTCCTCCAAAGATCCTGGTTTCAATTGAAAATGCACGACATCACCAAGAGAAAGAGAAAGAGAAAGAGAGAGAGAGAGAACTAACTTGATTGGCTCTGTTAGTGTAAAACTGTAAACCCTATTCTACTACAAGTACTTTTTTGGAGCCCATGCTTTACATGACTCACTATAATCGATTCTTATATACTACCTCCGTAACAAACGACATATTTGCGGTTCCTAAGTCAAAAGATTGAAAGTATGATTTTTGAAAAACAAAGGTATTTGCTTAACTATCAATCCATCTAAAAAAAAAAACAAATTCAACCTTAATTAAATTAAATAACCAACCACCACCGACACCACCAAACATCACCGAAACCACCACCACCAACACCACCTAGGACCTAACCCCCACAAACCCAGCACCACCCATGAACCGAGCAAATCCTAGTTGCCGCAACCCACCATACCACCCTTGAAAACCCACAAAATTAAACCACGAAAGCCTTGAACCCACCACCACCACCAACTCAGCGAAATCAGCCACCCTTGAACCTACCAACCCAGCAAAACCCACCACCCAACGCACCCACGATCTATCACCAAATGCACCCACGATCTACCATCTACCACCCACCGCACTTACGATCTACCACCCAACGCACCCATGATCTACCACCTACCACCCAATGCACCCACGATCTACCACCCACCGCACTCACGATCTACCAACCACCAACACGTAAACTACCTACCATTTGAAACCCGCTCATTTGAAACCACGAGGTCGCCGATCTTAAACCACGAGGTCGTTGTTTGAAACCCAAGACCTGAAACCACCCATCACCGACGAACCCCGCCACTCTTAACCCTACGAAGCCACCATGAATATGGGGTTGGAGGAGGAGAGAGAAAATTAAAGGGGATGAGGGTTTAATTATTTAAGCTTGGAGTTTAATCTAATGAAAATTGATTTGTAATTTAATAAGGTTGTTTATTAAAAAAAAGTAAGGGTATATTGGTCATTTACCACCCAAAAACATACTTCCTCCTTTCTTTTTTACTTGACCCGCTTTGACTTTTACACTATTCATCACCCCTCCTTTGACCGTCTTTTGTGAATGATATATAAGGAAAAATGTATTCATGTGGTATCTTTTTGAATTTTTCTCAATAAGTATTATCATAATATACAACTTTTATAATTTTTACTTATGGAGAACTAAAGTTATTGATCGCTAAAGTTTTGCATTGGCAAGTGTGATAAAAAAAACAGGTCGAGTAAAAAAGAACAGAGGAAGTACTAAATAAGAAAAGAAAAGAATTTGTTGTGAGCAATATGAACCATCCATTTCAGGAAATTGTTGCGAGTAAATTGGACCGAAGGTAGTATATTGGGAAATTGAATTTCAAGTATGTCGTGAATAAATTGTATGTCATTTTTTATCTTTACAAAAACTTTTGTTTACATCCGGTTTACACTAATATTAGTGTACATTGAGCAATATAATGACAGGGTAAAGTCGTATCCCCTAATCAAAAGTAATACCTAAATCCTCTAACTAAAGTAAATAGGGAAGTAGGGTCGATCTCCACAGGAAAACAGGTCTTTCTATTCCTAATTAACTAAAGTAATCTAAATTATAAAGTAACCAATATTTATATTTGAGCATGAAACTAAATTACAAAGAATGAGAATAGGGAGAAAACAATATATAAAAGGATCTAGGGCATATGTTTACCAATAAATAATACTCCAGGGTAAAACATAATAATCATTCATCAATGCATATATTAATCAGATTATAAAGGGCTTTCGCTACGTATTATAATCACACAATTAATTTACCAGTATTAAAACTCATCTTTCGAATCTCGAATTAACCATTTATAAATTAACCTACCTATTGAAACTAGACCTAAACATTAATTCTCATCTGTCGAATCTCGAATCAATATTGTTAAACTCATGCATAAAAGATCAGGCCTAATCTATTCACAGAGCATTAAATCAATCAATAGGAAATTAATCTAGCATTGATAATTAACAACAACAAATTACCCCTTCATATTATTTATGGATCCCCTTAAACCCTAGAAATAAAACTACTCATACATATTAAAAACTAAACTAATCAAAGCAATAAAATAAGTCATGATGAAAGGAAATAAGATTAAGAGAAGAGAAATCGTTACCAAACTAATCTGTATTAATGGAAATAATCAAGAACAAGGGTTGAGAGAAAAGTTAAGAGAGAGAAAAATCCTAAGTAGAGAGAGAAAGTCTAAGAAAGAGGATAAACAAAAAATTCCGTACAAAACTCATATATACACGTTTCCTAAAACAAAAATTAAAACTAATCAGGTCTCTTAGCCTTTTTCTTCGCGTTCCTTCCCATCAGCGTCGCCCGATCGTGCTAGAGGCTCGCACGATCGGGCGCGCTATAGCACGCTCAGCAACAAAGCCTTGCCGCGCCCGATCGTGCTAGAGGTAGCCCGATCGGCCGATTGCTTCACTTTGAGGCTTGGACTTCGATTGGGCTTGATTTCTCGGCCCAATCCGGATTTCCTCCTCGGGTCTTGAATACTTGGTCCAAATGCCTCGGGATCCCAATTACCGAGCCCTTAATCACCGGCTCTCACCGATCCTGGGCTCCAAAAGTGGTCGTGTCCTTCTAGCTTTCGTAGTTGATCCATAAAGCCCGGGAAAAATGCTCCAAGAGTGAATTTTTTGTAAAATACAACTAAAACTACAAAAACACTAGAAAACACAAATTAGTAATAAAAGTGGCCCGAAAGAGTCAAAAACACTACTAATAACGACCAAGGGACGGGGGTAAAACACTATATAAAATGGACATATCATATAAAGGTAACTTTTAGCTAATTTTAGGGTAACTTTTTGTCTTTCTTTGGGTAACTTTAAACATAATACAATTTTTATATAAATAGATAACAAGAAAAGTTTTATAGAGGTAATTTAATTACATTCATTCACTAATAATTGATTTTTAGTCAATTAAAATGTGATTTTTAGTCAATTTTTATTTGAATTGGGTTACTTTTACGCATATTGGGGTAACTTTTATTCATTTTAGGGGTAATTTTTAATCATTTTATGCTATCTTTATAATGGATGTACAATAATTATTGTACACCCGATTTTTTAAAAAATTTGTGTACAAACTTTTAAAAAAATCGGGTGTACAATAATTATTGTACATCCATTTTAAATCTCTCTTAAAGTGATCAAAAGTTACCCCTAAAATGAATAAAGTTACCCTAATATGTATAAAAGTAACCAAATACAAATAAAAATAATCTACGTTTTATTGGTAACGAATTACATTTTAAATGACTAAAATTAAATTATTAGTGATTGAAAGTAATTTTATCACCCTTATAAAACTTTTCTTGTTCGATTTATATAAAAAAAAAAATCATATTATGTTCAAAGTTACCCAAAAAAGGCAAAAAGTTACCCTAAATTGGCTTAAAGTTACCCCTATACTGCTCGATGTACACTAATATTAGTGTAAACCGGATGTATACAAAAGTTTTTGTTAAAAACTTTTTAAAAAATCGGGTGTACAATAATTATTGTACATCCATTATAAAGATAGCCTAAAGTGACCAAAAGTTACTCCTGAAATGAATAAAAGTTACCTCAATAGGCATAAATGTAACCCAATACAAATAAAAACTATCTACGCTTTATTAGTGATTGAATGACTAAAAATCAAATATTAGTGATTGAATGTAATTAAATTACCTTTATTAAACTTTTCTTGTTGTGTATTTATATATATAAAAGAAGTGTATTATGTTTAAAGTTACCTAAAAAAGGCAAAAAGTTACCCTAAAATTAGCTAAAAGTTACCCTTATATCGCTTGATGTACACTAATATTATTGTAAACCGGGTGTATACAAAATTTTTTGTTTTTTTTTTACAAAAAAAGAAAATTCATTAATGAAATATAGCCAAACAGCACTTATAAACAATTTATCCACCTAACTAAATGTCATTGCTCCACCTAAGGGTTATGCGACTTGCTACATTTTTTTAGTCAATTTTATGTTTATAATATAAATATTCATTATTAAACACACTTGTGTATCAATTATAAAAAGTAAAAAAATAAAAAGAAAAATAAAAAAAATAAAAAACACCTATGCATTATAAAAAAAAGTGTATTATGTTTAAAGTTACTTACAAAAGGCAAAAAGTTACCCTAAAATTAGCTAAAAGTTACCCTTATACCGCTTGATGTACACTAATATTATTGTAAACCGGGTGTATACAAAAGTTTTTGTTTTTTTTTTACAAGAAAAGAAAATTCATTAATGAAATATAGCCAAACAACACTTATAAACAATTTATCCACCTAACTAAATGTCATTGCTCCACCTAAGGGTTACGCGACTTGCTACATTTTTCTAGTCAATTTTATGTTTATAATATAAATATTCATTATTAAACACACTTGTGTATCAATTATAAAAAGTAAAAAAAGAAAAAGAAAAATAAAAAAATAAAAAACACCTACGCATTATATTATATGAATATAAAAGCTAGAAATCTACCCCTGTATACTTATGTCATTGTTATAGAGAGATAACAGGATTTAGGGCTTGTTTCGATTTAATGAAAACAAATTAACCAAACTGAACTAAATTGTGTATGAGAGATGGAAATTAGGAACTGAACTGAACTGAATAGAGTTGAAATGAATTGTTAATGAGATAAGAAAATTGGGAACTAAACTAAATAGATTCGAAATGAATTGTTGTTTATAAGAGAACGAAATTATGAACTGAATTGAGTTAAAATTAATTGTTTATGAAAGAAGGAAATTAGGAACTCAACCGATTGGAGCTGAACTGAATTGAACTAAATTAAGCTAAACTCAACAAGCCCTTACTCCTTTGACACCACCACTGAAGTTTCCTCCTGTTATGTTTTAGGTACTATTATGCGGAATTTCACAAATCATATTCGTTCGCACCTAATCAGGATCTACAAGCATAACACATAAAGAATCACATATAACATATCTTTGACGCGTGATTTCCACAAGCGATTGACTGTCAATTAGGGAGATAATAGAGCCCCAATCGTTGCTCCTCTACTTAGTCTACGGGATAGGATTTAACCTCCACTACTGCTAGGTAGTTGGGCACGAACACTTCGAACCATCTTCTACGAAGAAGGGAGGAGAAAACAACCATGAACACCATGACCACCACCATGCACCACATGCGCCACCTGCGTGTGCGGACGTGAGGAATGAGGAGAGAGTGTGTGCGTGAGGCTTAGGGTTTAGTTACTAGCAAGTCTATTATCAATTGACTGCTAATTGTGTTGTATGTCAAATCCTAGGCAAGACCTTTATTTATACTATCATATGTATAATTAGAGTCCAAACCAAGCCCACAATACTCTTCCTTTAAAATCCATATGGTCGGCCACTCCATGAGGCCCAATAATGGGCTTCTTTCTTTTGTTCAATCAAACACCCTTTTTGTGTGACATTATAGGATCCATTTTATTAGGCTTTGGCCTATTTGACAAGTCCAAAAATCATTGATCATGTCTAGCAATTGACAACGACGATCTAAAAAAACGAACTTAATTATATCCATAATTATCTCCATTATATATCTAGTAATTGCACTTGAGGAAGACATAAATCCTTCACCTCCTTCCTTTTGTCGACCCTCACTGACACTATCCTTATCATCTCAATTTTGATGACACCACCATCTCTACCATCAAATTAAACGAAAAC